TCGCACAAACTAGCCCAAGACCGGACTTATACCACTACTTGCCAACCAAGCTACATGCGCGCCAAAACCAGGTATTTTCAGTTTATACGATTTGTGCAGGTAATAAGGCTTGCCTCAACAGTTCTTAAGCATCTCAACACGCCAAGGAACCACCAGTTCGAGCCTCCAAGGCAACAAGAAAGCCGGCTTAGTTTTATTTTTCTTTTTAAGTTTAAGTGAACTTTCCTTTTTCATGTATTTTTCCTTTGTGCGTTTTGCTCTTTTGTATTTCTTTGTTATGTCGTTTTGCTTTTATTTTCGGCCTTAGGGCTAGCTGACGAGCTGTTTATAAAGCTACCATACATTATCAATAAAGAGACCGAACTTTCTTCACAAAAGCTTAGCCGTTGCGTGTGGATACACCAAGTTCTAAGTGTTTGCTGTATCAGAGAGCCTTTCATACTCTTTGTGGTGCCATCGATCCATTGTTTTCACCATTCACTGATCCCTCAAGGGAGAGCGTTAAAGCCAACTTGATAGATCCCATATCGGCTCAAGACTTGTTCATCAAGCCTTGCTCTACCATCTTTCACCCACTAGTTCGTACGAGAGAGCGTCATAGCCAGCGTATTGACTCCACCATTCCATCACTTCTGCATCATATAAGCCTCCCATACCGAGTCTTATATCAGAACCAGGAGAGACTGATGAAATCTCTTACTTATCCCACCACTCCTCCCTCCACAACTAAGGTACAATATCCTTTACATTGTAAATGCTATTGCATTTTTTTAGTTTATGTAATATATTTCTGTTGCTTCTCTCTTTCACTATTTTATTACAAAAGGGATTGTGTAATTTAAGTTTGGGGAAGGGATTTGGGGTTTGAATTTGTGTGTTCTTTTCTTAGGTTTTCATTTTTTTTATCATTGAGCCTCATGCATTCATGCATATATATGTAAGTGCATAGAAAAATATAAAAAAATCAAAAAATTCGAATTTTTTTGCATCTTTTACAAACGAAAAAGAGAGCATCTAGTTGCATTTCATTTGTTTAAGATTGAGTCTAGTGTTTGCATATAGGTTGAATTGCATTTGCATAGGGCACAATGATGAATTTTCCTTGTGAAATGCTAAGTGTTTAGGATTGATTTAAATCATAAGAATTTAGAAGTTAAGGCTGAACCATGTTTGAATTGCTAAATTTGATATTGTCATCTCATGCTGAAACCATTTTTTCATTGAAAATCAACTCTAATCTATTGGAACCTAAATCTGATTTTCAAATATGATGTTTGTGCATTGAAAAGTGAATTCATGGCAACCATATACATATTTGGATCATCTTCTTCCCTTCTTACCACTCTTGTTGATCCAAATAGCTGATCCTCATACTTATGGGACAGTTAATCCACACCCTTAACCAAACCTCCTTTTTGAGCCAAAACACCATTTATGAGAGTTGTGAGGCCTTGCATACATAATTCTTGAATTTTATCTTAGCAAAAAGTGTTAGGATTAAGGCTGGCAAGGAGAAACTCTCTTGTAGATATCAGCTTCCACTTTGAGCTTGATTCTAGGTTAGGAGTTTGGGTGAAAGGGTAGTGTTAAGTGGTTTGAGCTTCATGGTTTATATCTTATAAGTATAAGAAGAAGTATGGGATGGTAGTGTGGGAAAATAAGTTAAGTTTGTTGTTAAGTATAAAGGGAAGAAAAATTCTAAGTGTCTAAGATAAGGAGGTGCCAACAATAGTTATGCTTTCAAAGGTCATCCAAGAAGAAATCAGACCAAAGTAATCCACTAGAGGTGATGAAGAATGGTGCCTAAACAACAAAAGAAGAGCAAGTCCCAACAAAAAGGACCAACCACACAAGCAAAGAAGAAGGAGTTTCCCCTCACATAAATAAGAAGAAGATCAAGTTCTTTGGGAAGGGGTGGACTTAGGGGTTCACTTTAGGTTTAGAAATTCTTAGGATTCATCTTTGGGTAAAGGGTAGAAGAGAGGTTTAACTTGCATGCATAAGTATGCTTTTACCTTTAGCAATTTTCTTAAGATAGAATCATTTTCATTGAGTGATCCATTGAGTTTATTAGTGATACGTTATGCAGGAAGCGAATTGAGTGAAGTGATAGAAAACGTGAACTGGATGTAACCGGATAGATAGGAAGATCGGGATCACCACAACTCGTAAAGCCGAAGTACCAGAGCTGATAAAGAAACCCGTTGAGCTAGCGCCACACTTAGATAAAGTTTCTACCACTAAGTAATAAAGACGCTCGAAACCACCACCAATGACTCTCCTAAAATCAAAAGATAAAGGTAAAATGATCAATAGATCAAAAGAGGTCACAAAAGACTCTCCAATTTCCTTGAAAACTTTGTGCGTTTATTCTATTGATAATAAGCCTCATTATATAGAGGAACTAAACACAATTTCGTCCCGTAGACTTAAAATAAATGTAGAAAAATACAGAAAACAAGGAAAAACAGATAAGGCAGAATTAACTGTTGACTTGACCAGACATGAAAATGACCCTTCAGCATCCTCTAGTGACGAAAACTAGTCTCCTCACATGCTTATTTTATCTCTTGGCTGGTCGAAAAATAACAAAGTATAAGCCATTCCATTCCGTTTTCCAACCCTTTGTATATTTTCTATGTTACACATGCTTTCTCGTGCATCATTCCCTCCGGGTTCAAAAGGATTTGTCCTCAAATTCAGCATATCTTCATCATCAAAGTATGGAGAAAGATCCCCAACATTGAAAGTAGCTGAAACTCCATAATCACCTGGATGTTCAAGTTTATAATCATTCTCACCAAACTTCTCAAGTACCTTGAATGGACCATCAGATCTTGGCATGAGTATAGACTTGCGCTTGCTAGGAAACCTCTCCTTTCTCAGATGCAACCACACTAGATCTCCTGGTTCAAATGACTTATCACGGCGATTCTTGTTGGTTTTCTTCTTGTACTTCTCATTCGCCTATTCAATCTCAGCTTGAACATTCTCATGCAGCTTCTTCATATTCTTAACTCGTTCTGCTGCTTCATAGTTCATTTTGAACTCACAAGGCAATGGAATCAGATCAATAGGAGTAAGAGGATTCACACCATACACTACCTCAAATGGTGAACGCTTCGTAGTGTAGCTCACTGATTTGTTGTAAGCAAACTCCGCTTGAACCAACTTCAAGTCCCACTCCTTCAAGTTCTTCTTAATCAAACCCCTCAATAGTGTAGTATAAGTTCTGTTTGTTACTTCCGTCTGGCCATCAGTTTGTTGATGACAAGATGTACTAAAGAGCAGCTTAGTACCAAGTAACCTCCACAAAGTCTTCCAAAAATAGCTCAGAAACTTTGAATCACGATCAGAAACAATGGACTTTGGAACTCCATGAAGACGCACAACCTCCTTCAAGTATAAATCAGCAACCTGACTTGCATCATCTGTCTTGTGACAAGGTATAAAGTGTGCCATCTTACTGAATCTATCCACCACGATCATGATAGAGTCCTTTCCTCTCTGAGTTCTTGGCAATCCCACAATGAAATCCATGCTCACGTCATCCCAAGGCTATATAGGAACCGGCAAAGGATTGTAAAGACCAGGCTGGAAATGACTTTTTATCCTTTGGCAAGTTGCACACCTCTCCACTATTGTATGAACGTCTCTGTTCATATTAGGCCAAAATAAATGCTCCTGAAGCATATCCCACATCTTATTGATCCCAAAATGTCCAGAAAGACTTCCTCCATGAGCCTCATGAATCAACAACTCCCTTATAGAATTCTTAGGAACACACAGCTTGTTTCCTTTGAAAAGAAATCCATCTTGCAGCTGGTACTGACTTACAATGCCTTTCTTGCACTCATTATAGACTTGTTTAAAGCCCATATCTCCATCATACAGTTCTTTCATCATCTCAAATTCCATAATTCGTGAATCAAGGATAGAGATCAAAGCATACCTCCTTGAAAGTGCATCAGATACCACATTGATCTTTCCAGCTTTGTATTTAGACACAAATGAGAAGGATTGTAGAAACTCCACCCATTTAGCATGTCTACTGCTGAGCTTTTGCTGATTGTTGAGGTACTTCAATGCCTCATGATCAGAGTGTAGAACAAACTTTCCTGGCCTCAAGTAATGTTCCCAATGACCAAGAGCTCTCACAATCGCATAAAACTCCTTGTCATAAGTTGAGTAGTTGTTCCTAGCTCCTCTGAGTTTCTCACTGAAATATGCAATAGGGCGTTGTCCCTGAACAAAAACAGCTCATATTCCCACGCCACATGCATCACACTCAACATCAAACACTTCATTAAAATCAGGAAGCGCCAAAAATAGTGCTTCACACAGCTTCTGTTTCACTACTTCAAACGCTTTTTGTGCAGCTATGCTCCATCCAAACTTATCCTTCTTCAAGCACTCAGTTATTGGAGCCATTATTGTACTGAAGTTCTGCACAAATTGCCTATAGAAGGAAGCAAGGCCATGAAAGCTTCTAACATCAGATTGTGTAGCTGGAACTGGCCAACTCCTTATTGCTTCCACTTTGCTTTCATCCACTGATATTCCATCGGCCCTGTTCGTTTGCTTGACGCCAGCGGCTGCAGCTGCGGCATTGCCTCTAGTCGCAGCGTTTAGACGCATGATTGTTGTTTGTTTTGTCGCCGCGTGTCTGGTCGCAGCATCTGCCAAAAAAATTTGTTCGTTTGGTCACCGCGCGTCTGGTCATAGCGTCTACCGCAGATTTGTTCGTTTGGTCGCCACGCGGTTGATCATATCGTCTGATCGCTCGTTTGTTCGTTTGACAATCGCTGCGGCTACGATTATTTTTTTTGTTTTCACTTCACATTTTAATTTTCATAAATTTATATATTTACTTTATAATATAATAAATTCTTTATACATTCATAAGATTTTTAATTAAGCAGTTAAATTAATTATAACATAAACTAAATTAAAACAAATTTTATAAACTACGAAGATTCTTACAAAAGTAATTCATTATATTAATTCTAAAATATGATAAAAAAATAGTCATAAAGTAAAATAAACAAACATAATAAACCGATTTGTTTTTTTTCAGAATCAAGCAAAGTAGTAAACTAAATCATTTACTAAAATATCTAATACGGTAATCGACGTCTTCTACCATATTCATTTGTGATGGTATCACGCAAAGCTTCCATCGCTCTATCACCAGTCGGCTCATATGGAATATGTCCACTATGATCATCCTCACCGTCATTATCATCCGCTGATGCTTCTCCTACTTCTTCATCACCATGAGTATGATATTCTTCTGTGTTTTGCCAAAGTATAAAATCTGAATCCTCCCGATGTGAATCACGTATGAAGTTGTGTAATGCCATGGTCGCTGTGACAAGCTTAATCCACTTAGTCAAACCATACTTTAATCCACTTAGTCAAACCATACTTTGGATACTTACGATCCAAAATCCTCCACTTTGCTTTCGATACTCCAAAAGTTCTCTCAATCACTGAACGTAGACCTGAATGCTTTCGGTTGAACACCTCTCGAGAGTTTGTTGGTGGTCCTCCTGTAGCAAATTGATCAAGATGATATCGTACCCTACGACCAAGATATCCTGTCCTGGTGGGATGTCCGGAGTCAACTAGATAATACTTTCCATTAGGCGGATGTGGAAAATAAGGTTCATTCCTCGCACAATGAGCCAATACCCTTGTGTCATGTGCTCTACCTGGTACACCAACATATGCATATATGAACTTCATATCGAAGCTGCATATAGCAAGAACATTCATGGTAGGTTCCCGCTTTCTGCCTCTATACGCTTCTGCAGTTCGACTGGGAGGGCGAACTGGGATATGAGTTCCATCAAGTGCTCCAATACAATCTTTAAATGGCCAATACTGATCATCATCACTCAAAACAGATCTTGTAAACTCACCTTCTTCTGGTTTTAGTGTATCCGCTGCAAACTTGAGGAGAACACTCAAAACATCATCAAGTTTTCTTTTCACTGTATCCAAAGACCGTTGATATCTTTCAGCTATAACCCGCATAGTTTTATCTTGACCAACCACCTCAAGAAACATGGCAATAGATTCCTCAATGTAGATATTTTCAGACTCTTGTAACCCATATCGCCTAGCCAGCATCTTACATAAACCATCAAATGTTTTTTGGTTCATTCGAAGTATATCATAACATTGTTGGTCTGATCCTTGCATAAGCTGCTGAACATGACGCCATCCTGCTCCTCTATCTGTTCTAAGACTCGATCTCTCAGAAGTAAGCAAATCAAACAAACCGAGATCATCATCATCATCATCATCATCATCATCATCATCATCATCATCATCATCATCATCATCATCACCATCACCATCACCATCACCATCACCATCACCATCACCATCATCATCACCATCACCATCACCATCATCCAATATCTATTTTTTAGCCATCCCAAAACAGAACTCATAGGTATTAATACAAAATTTATGTTTAACAAAAGTAATCAAAGCAACAAACCCTAAACATCAAACGTCATATTTAAATTCCATAAAGCATCATCATATTTCAACGCAAACATCAAACCGCAAATAAAAGCTTATATCATTACTCAAAATCATCGTTATTAACTCAAGCGATAGACAAAACAGAGAAATATAGAAACCAAAGTCATTATCAAACCCATCAAACTTAACCGATAGACAAAACACACAAACACAAACAAAAGCTATCATCAATCATAGTGATGTGTTCCTGTCCTATGCTCTAAGTAGCTAATCTTGTCTTCAACACTAGCAAACGCTACAAAACCCCTGCGGTTTGCTTCACTAGCTAGAAGATGATCCACAGCTGCTCGGTGAAACGAAGACCACTTCCTTACTCCAGGCAATTCATTAAGCACCTCTACTACACGCTCAACACTACAAGCATACTCTCGCTCACAATTCTCTAACATCTTTTCTGATATCTTATTCTTCTGCGCCAGAACTGTATTACGTGTAACAGCGGTCTCAATAACTATATCTTTCTCTCTTGCGTCGCTGGCACTTCTGTATCCATAGAATCAACTTCATCCTCATCTCTTCCATCTACTCGGTAATAGCACCAAATTCCTCTTCATACACATCCATAGTAGGAATCGGCTTGTTTCTGTATTTCCTAGCATCAGGCCATTCCTAAAACAAAATAAAACAAAAAGGATTAGCCAATATTATCCTAATAGTAAATCACAAGCATCAAACGAACCCTAAGACTCGCTGAAATCATTAGATAACTGAAATCCACAAGCATCAAACGAATACATCAGACACTAAACCACAGGCGCTTATAGTTTGTCTTCAAAATGAGAGAGTGGAGTCAAGTAAATTTTAAACGAGTGGATTCAAGTAAACCTTAAACGAAACCTAAAAGATCCACAAGCAACAAAACTCATTAAACTCATCAAAGCAACAAAACTCATACGCAATTCATCAAAGTCATCAAAGCAACACATCAAACATTCGCAACACACCAAAGAAGTCAAACCCTAAAAGAGATGAAAGCAAACTTTAATACCTGTATGCGCTCCTCCCACCAATGATCAGGCATGTCCAATCTTCCCAAAGCAGTCCAGTTCGATTGTGAGTTAACTTCTTGAATTTGACATATGATTTTTTGCTAGAATCATATTTATTCTTGAAATTTTCCCATCCGAGCGCTTTCCCAAATCTCTCTTCAAACTTCTTCATAATAAAGTCTTTGCCGGTTTGATTCATCCCAGCTTTTGTTTTGTTGCCTTTCTTTTTCTCATCCAAATAGAGATAAAAAAAGTATCGACACTCTTCATCGGTCCAATTCTAAAGAACAGTCAATACTTACATGTCATCCTAACAATATCTAAAGAATAATTCTAAATAACTCATAAGCACTTACATCAATAGCCATGACTCTTGTTTATCTCTGATCCTTGTGGAGCAATCTGTCTCTACTAGCAGAAGCAAACTGAAACCAAGTATTATACAAAGAAAAATAGATTAGGAAACAAAGAAAAGCAGATTTAAAAATCGTTCATCAACAAGGGTTCACTAAGGTAACAAAGAGAAACAAAAGCAAACCGATAATACCAATCCCATTAGATAGATTAGCAAACAAAGAAAAACAAATTATAATTTTTTTTTTTCATTTCCCATGAATCATTACGTTTATGTTTGAAATTAATTAATCTATTTATCACCTCTTGAAAACAAAAATATGCTTCTATAACATCATAGCCATATTAGTATTTAGCAATACGTTCCAAACTCATCTATAAAGGAAACCTTATAACTCCAACCACAAAAGAATCCATATGATACCAGAAATATGCAAACCGAACATCATACCAAAAGAGAAAGCAAGAGTCATGATTAAGAAGTAGCAGCGTTCAATTTTTTTTGTTTCCAATCACGGATCTATAAACCAAAACACAAGAGAGAAAGAGAGTTTCAGGAAACTAAAACTAAAACTAAAACACAAGAGAGAAGGAGAGTTTCAGGAAACACAAGCAAAGAAAATTCAAATGGGTGAAGAACAACACACACAAAAAAAAACCCATTTGAATATAGGCGCATAGTCACACACAAACCCAGTTGCAAGCGCAGAATCTGATGAAATACATTTAAGTGAAGAACAACACAGATAAAGCAAACCTTATGCGATGAGGAATGGGAGAACGATGAGCATGAAGGTTTCCTAAGTGAAAGTAGCTGAGCTTGAGTATCCTGTGTCCTTCTCCTTGAACTTCTCTGTCAGTCCCTGAAACCATTCCCATCATCTCACACAAATTAAACTACTGACTTTTAAAGCAACATAACAACAAAAATTAATTTCTTTCGAGCTAACACATCAAACACTTAGCAGCTTCGCTCATCTTACTTTAGTAGCTTATGTTAAATTTCGAAAACAACAAAATATATCTTAGATTTAATTGCACTAACATTAGGAGGGAAGATGATGCACACTCCATAATTTCTACTCCACATGCGACACAAAACTTCAAACCTTAAATCCGAACTTAAGCATAAAGTTACTTAAACATAAAGTTTCAACAAGATCCCAAACGACAAAAGGCTAACAACTATGCAGCTGCTCTCTTGTTCTTGGATTGGCGTGACCATGTTGGTTGTTAAACTATATATATTTGTAATTCTAATTTTCAGCAGGAGAGAAACTTGTTTTACGTCTTATATCAACTAACAACAGAAAACCCATCAGCTAACAACAGAAAACCCAGAATAATCTATGAAGCTGATGAGAGAGTTCATGTGTTAAAAACCCAGAGAAACTGAGAGCAATAAAACGAAATCTGGTTGATAAATTGAAGTCAAAACACAAAACCCGCATCACTAAAACGAAATCAGATTGATGAATCAAAGGCAAAACAAAAAACCTAAAATCAAAGGTAAACAAATCGAAATGAGACAATTGAAACACAGAGAAATTGAGCTTCGAGGCAAAGAGATTAATTGAATCATAAATAAAACGAACAGTCCCGAACCTGAGAAGAAGTTCGGCGAAGAGAAGAAAAAGAAGAAGAAGAAGATCAGCGAAGTGAAGAGAAGAGAAGAAGATCGGCGAACACAAAGAAGGTCGATATTTAATTTCAGGGTAAATGGTTTGTAATTTACAAAAGGTAATAAGGATAATTTTGTCTTCTGCAGATTCAGTCGCAGCTTTCTCAACCGCAACGCTGAATTTTATTTGCGTCCAAAAAAATCGAACGCTGAACGCAGCGTTTGGTCACAGCGTCTGATCGTAGAAGATGCATCACATAAACGAACAGCGTTTGATTGCATGCTGCAGCTGCATCCTGCGGCTGGCAAATAAACAGGGCCATCACCAGATACGACATATCCAAGAAACACAACACTAAAAGTGAAGAAAAAACACTTATGAGGCTTTGCATAGAGTTTGTTTTTACGTAGTACCTCAAAAACTTCTCGCAGATGCTGTGAATGATCTTCTTCGGTCTTCCTATACACCAAAATATCGTCAAAGTAACCAGAAACTTTCCAATAAAGTTGCATAGTACTTGATTCATCAGCCTCATAAAAGTACCGAGAGCATTAGATAAGCCAAATGGCATGACCAGCCACTCAAACAAACCACCCTTTATCTTGAATACTGTTTTCCATTCATCCTCTTTTTAATTCTGATTTGATGATATCCACTCCTTAGATCAATTTTTGAAAACACCTTTGATCCATTAAGCTCATCCAACATGTCATCCAACCGTGGTATAGGATAACGATACTTCACAGTAATCTTGTTGATAGCTCGGCTGTCCACATACATCTTCATTGAGCCATCCTTCTTTGGAACAAGTAGAGCAGGAACAGAACAAAGACTCATGCTCTCTCTTACATAGCCCATAGTAATAAGCTCTTGAACTTATCTCTGCAGCTCCTTAGCTTCTTCTGGATTACATCTATAAGTGATACATGATTGATTGGTGTCTCATGCTCAATCACCCTTGTACTAGTAAGTTGTAGTAAGGGTTTTATGTCAATCCATTGGGAAGAATTGAAAACAGAAGAATTGAGAGTAAAATCTCAAAGTCAAGCAAGCAGAGAATTGGTTTTGTTGTCTAAGCAACAGTTCTAGCAACCTAAGTGAAGCAAGCAGCAACCAAAGTAAAAACAGAAGCAAACTAAGCAATTCTAAGCAATGAAAATAGAGTAAAACAGAGCAAAACAGGGCAAATCCGAAATTCAAATAAGAGAAAGGCAAGTCTCTAGATGTGGTTATTGACTTTGGGGAATTTCAGGCATCAACTAAGGCTGTCTCAAAATACATTGATCAAGCAAGCAAGCAAGCAATGGTGATTCCTAGACATAGAGTTCACACTTAAGCTAGTTAGATCCAATCTCTTGGCAAATAACCCTTTGCTAAACATTCTAACAAGAACTAACTCTCATTAGTGCTAAAACATCAAGCAAGCATGATTAAACAACTCTATTCAAGTCAAAATGCTCCTCAAATAGTCAATCTCTTGAGCCAAGGCCAGCAAATCCTCTATTAAACATGATCATCATTTCATCAAACACTTGGTGGGCATAAGAGAAAGCTAGCAACTTAGACAAGTTTGATCAAGACTAATATAGCATGAATAACAGATTAATAGAGAGGAACCCATAAAATGAAGAACACAACAACCTTAATCAAGCCTTAGATTCCCCTAATCTACCACATCTAGAAACCCTAAGATAACTACTCACTCATAATCATGTTTAACACCAAATCACAAAGGGAAAGGATGCTAATCATGATTAAAAGAAAGATTAAAGCAAGATTAAAGCAAATACTTGTTATATTAAACAAAGCAAAGAAATTGTCTTACAAACTTAAAAGAAATGTTCAAGAACAGTATTTTGACATGACTTGTCGAAAATCTGGAAAAGAGGCTATTTATAGCCTAGAAAAGAAAACCCTAGAGTAATGGCATAGTTGTAATTAAAAACAGGTTCGGGCTGGGTCAATATCGGTCAGTCGTGTCGATCTCCAGTGACTGAAATGGGTCCCTATCGGTCTTCAGTGATCGACACACATGACAGAAATTAATCCGATGTGTTTGTGTCGATCACACTTGACCGATACTGGTGACCGATATGCTCTGTATCGGTCACTCTTGACCGAAACTCTTCGTGCTCTGACCGAAAACTTCTGCAGAGATCTTCTGCTATGATCCTTCTTGCTCCCTTTTGCCCTTCTAGCATCTTGTATCATTCCAAAAACTCCTCCAAGCTCCTTTAAGCTCCAAAAGCACCTAAAAACATCCAAAATGCAAAGAAAATGCAAACTATACTCTAAATGCAACCTAAGTCTAAAAGGAGAAGAAAATGGGACAAAAGCAAAGGGAAAACATGCAAAAAAAGATCAAAGTATGTACTAAATGCAGCCCTATATGGTGTAAATACAAGGGATATCAACACCCCCACACTTGCCTTTTTCTTGTCCTCAAGCAATCAAGAACAAATGGGAAAGTGAGGTTTGAAAGTGGGCATTCGGATTCCAAAAGTGCAAAGGTAAAGAGATGGTTTCAATTCTCAAGTGCCTAGTTGTAGGATGCAAACATAATCAGCTATACTTTAAAGATCCTAGCCATGCTCATCATAATTCAAAATGATCTCAAATTTCAACTTAGGCAGATGCTCAAATCAATCAATTCTTTAACATTCAATTAAGTTCAGAACATGAATCATGCTTATGCAAATCAAGTGAAGACATTTGGTTGAAAAGGGTAAGGTTATGAGATAAGAATGATCTCATTTAAGCACAAGGGTTCAAAAACATAAAGGATCACTCAATGAAATGACTTCATCTTAGGAAAAATGCTAAAGGTAAAAGCACACTTATGCATGCAATTCAGAGCTCTCTTCTACCCTTACTTCCCAAAGATGAGTCCTAAGCATTTCTAAACCCAAGAGTGAACCCTCTAAGTCTACCCTTTCCTAAATTCTACCCTTTCCTAAATTCTACCCTTTACCCATCTTCATGGCTGGGGAAACTTCTTCTTTTGCTTGTGTGGCTGCTTCTTTTTGGTTGGGACTTGCTCTTCTTTGTTGTGTTGGCACCTTCATCACCTTTGGTGGATTGCTTTTTGGTCAGATTTTTCTTCTTTTGGACCTTTCTAAGCATTGTTGTTGGCGCCAAACCTTCTTTTTAAACTTAGAGCTTTTATTCCCTTTACTTAACCACAATACTAAACTGTTTCCCCTTTTCTACCATTTCAGATCTTTTCTCTTTCTTTCAAAACATAAAAACATGAAGTTCAAACCACTTACTCTACCCTTTTTAAACCCCAAAACTCCTATTCTAGAATCAAGCTCAAGATGCAAGCTGATATCTACAAGAGAGCTAATCATTGCCAGCCTTATTCTTAACACTTTTTGCCAAGACAAAATCGAAAATGCAATGCAAAGGCCTCACAGCTCTCACAATAGTGTTTAGGCTCAAAAGGAGGTTTTGGTTAATGGTGAGGATGTAACTGTCCCATAATTATGAGGATCAGCTATTTGGATCAACAAGAGTGGTAGAAAGGAGAAAGATAATCCAAATATATATATGGTAGCCATGGAATCATTTTTCAATGCATAAGACATGATAATTAAAAGTCCAAGTTAAAGTTCAAGTTGATAGAGTTGATTTTCAGAGAACAAATGCTTTCAGAATGAGATGAGAAGACCAAATCTAGCAATCTAAGCATGGTTCAGTCTTAACTTCTAGCAATCATATGATGCATCAAACAACTAAGCACTTAAAAACTGAAATCATCTCTAAACACTAAGCACTTTACAAGGAAAACTCATCATAATGCCCTATGCAAATGCAATGCAACCTACTTGTTAACACTAGACTCAATCCTAGAAGAATGAAATGCAACTACATGCTCTCTTTTTGGTTTGCAAAAATGCAAAAATTTTCAAAAATTTTCGATTTTTTTGTGTGTTTTCTATGCCTTACATGTATGCATGATATGCATGAGACTCAAAGTGAAAAGAAAAAGAAAAACTAAGGAAACAGAAAACAAAGTCAAGCCCCAAATCTCTCCCCCACACTTAAAAATTACACAGTCCCTTGTGTAATGAAAGCAATGGAAGAGAGAAACAACAAAATATATTACAAAAATAGAAAGATGCAATGGTATAGAACAATGGAAGGGATGTGGTACTTGGTTCAATGGTAGGAGTTGTGGGATGATCCTGAGGTTTGTGGAGACTTGCTAGCTCTCCTCTTCCTTCTCTCATAGACTTTAGTGGAATGCTCTGCTTCTGGAGTTGGTTGAACCCAACTTGACCATAGCTGTTCAGCTTGTGAAGAAGTCCCTTGTGTGCCCCATTGCCATGTATCCTGAACTTCAGAGGGGTTGGGGATTGGCGTCTCCCAAGCTGATGGAACATGGGCTCTTGGCTCATAAGATGAAGCCCTTGGTTGTGCCCATGTACCCCATTGGTCACTTGGTTGAGCATGGAATGAGTGTCTTCCATGGGGGTTCCATACAGCTTCCTCCTCTTCAGTTGGCTCAGATGGGTTAAGTTGCTCTTCTTGTTGAGAGTAGAGCTCTTGGGTGTGGCTGTGGTGGGAAGTTTTTGCTGATGTAGCCTTGTTCTTTCTGAACTTCCCCTTCACCATCTTCATAAGCCCTTTGATGGCTTTGTCCTGCCACTTGCACCACTTCTGTAGTGTGTTAATGTGCTAATGAGCTGCTCTCAAAGAGCTTCCTTGGTTGGGAGCTTCATAGGGCTGGAAGTGGAACTGCCTTGAGCTGTAGTTCAACACTTCTTCTTCTTCAAGCTCAACGTCTTCATGGGTTCTTCCTTGGCCTTCAGCGCCAGCAGTAGCAT